TGAGACAGAGTCTTGCTCTGTCACCCAGGCTGGAGTGCAGTGGCACGATCTCAGCTCACTGCAACCTCTGCCTCCCAGGTTTAAGCGATTCTCCTGCCTCAGCCTCCTGAGTAACTGGGACTATAGGCATGTGCCACCACACCCAGCTAATTATTTTAATTTTTAACAGAGACAGGGTTTCACTGTGTTACCCAGGATGGTCTCAATCTCCAGACCTCATGATCTGCCTGCCTTGGCCTCCCAACGTGCTGGAATTACAGGGATGAGCCCCTGTGCCCAGTTGGGTTTTCTTTTTTAATTGGAGTATAATTTACAAAGCATGAAATGCACCTTATAAGTGTACAATACAGTGAGTTTTAATAAATGCTTCCATTGGTAGAACCACAGCCAAAACAATATACAGAACATTTCTCATTCCCAGAAATTTCCTTTGTGCCCCTTTAAAATCAATTCTCCTCTCCCAAAGGCACCCCTGTTCTGATTTCTATCTGTAAATTAGTTTTGCTTGTTCCAGACTTTCGTATACATTTATCTATTCTTTTGTGTCTAGTTTAATTTACTCAACATTATATTTTGACATTCGTCCATGCTGTCCATTGCATATATCAGCTTATTTCTTTTTATTGCGGAGTAGTTTTCTATTGTATACACACACCACAACCATCCATTCTCTTGTTAATGAACATTCTAATTATTTTCATATCCATATTGCCTAGTACAAATAAAGCTGCTATAATCATTGTTGTGCCAGTTTCCTTGTGGATGTGTTTTCATTTCTCTTCAGTAAATATCTAGGAGTGAAATTGCTACCTCATGAGGTAAATACATGTTTAACTTTTAAAGAAACTTCCAAAGTCTCCTAAACTGGTTGTACTATTTTATATTCCAACCAGCAATGTAGGAGAAGTCTAGCTACTGTACATTCCCACCAATATTCAATGTCCATCTTTTTCACTTTGGTTCTTCTCCTGGATGTGTGATATCTTGTTGTGACTTCAACTTGCACCTCTCTGATAATTAATAATGTTGAGTATTTTTTGCATTTGTTTTTAACTGAGTTATATGTCTTATTTATCGAGCAGTAAGAGTTCTTTATATATTATGGGGTACAACTCTTTTCTCAGATATATGTGTTGCTAATATTTCTTCCCAATCAATATCTTTTGACAAGCAAAAGCTTTTCATTTTGATGCAATGTATTGTTTTATTTTATTTTTGTTACTATTTTCTGTGTCTTAAGAAATGTTTTCCTATCCCAATGTTGTAAAAATAGTTTCCTATATTTTCTTTTAGAAAATGTATAGTTCATTTACATTTACGTGTATGATTAGTTTATTTTTGTGTATGGTATGTGGTAAGGATTGAGATCAGTCTACTACATGGGGCTTCTGTATAAACTACTGTTTTTCTGATGCAAAAAAGAAAAAAGAAAAACAATTCAGCTGGCATGTGGCTTTTAATGTTTGCTTTTCCTTCTTCTTCCTGCCTGGATTATAGTAATGAAATCCAGAGTACAAAAGCCATTGTGCCAATAAGGAGGAAAACCACACATTAAAGATAATAAAATAGAAAGAAAGGAGGTACCTGGAACCCCAATGAAACCATGGAGCTGCTGTTTCAACTCTAATCTACCAACATCTGAACATAATTGTCATGTAGCAAGACCAACCTACTAATTTACTGATTCATCATAGTTAAACAAATGTAGATAAGTAATATTTTCCTCTTAATAATTCAATGGTTTTCCATCACTTTTGGAATAAAATCCAATAGAGCCCTATGTAATACAAACCCCCACCTATCTCTCTGACCTCATTTCCTACCACTCTTTATACATACAACCCACTCTTGTCTAGCCATATTGGTCTTGGGGTGTTTCAGAAACAGCCACAGTTGCTCCCTTTTAGATCATTTATCTTTGCTTTTGCTGTTCTTTATACACAAAATATTAATTCTGTGCACAATTACTATCAATGTTACCCTCACATGGCTTCCTCATTTCATCCAGATGTTTGCTCAAATATTGCCTTCTCAAAAAAGTCTTTCTTGGCTAGGCACAGTGGCTCATGCCTGTAATCCCAGCACTTTGTGAGGCCAAGTTGGGCAGATCATGAGGTCAGGAGATCAAGACCAGCCTGACCAACACTGTGAAACACCGTCTCTACTAAAAATACAAAAATTAGCTGGGCATGGTGGCACACGCCTGTAACCCCAGCTACTCAGGAGGCTGAGGCAGGAGAATTGCTTGAACTGGGACCCAGGAGGCAGAGGTTTCAGTGAGCCGAAATCACATCACTGCAGTCCAGCCTGGGCTAAAGGGTAAGACTCCATCTCAAAAAAAAAAAAAAAACACAAAAGATACAACTACCATCTATAAAAAGGCCCTTTTTGATTGTTGAACTCTCTAAAATGTCACCCTTCACTTGCTGTATATTTACGATACTTTATGCTCTTATTCATTTTTATGATCTTTATCACTTATCTATATCACAAATATATTTGTGTTTGATTATTTGTTTACCTTCACTAGATTATAGGCACATTTTTTTTGTCACATCCAGCACTATATTGCCAGTGCCTAGAATAGTGCCCAGCACATAGTAGTTGCTCAACCAATGTTAATTATTTGAGCTTTACCTCAGGGTTTAGAGAACTTCAGTTAATTCCTCTGGATTTTGGAGTGTTAAGATTTTGAAATGTGAGGGGCACTGGAATTGTGACAGAAGTATTTGCATCTATGACAGGTACTAACTGATGGAAAAAATATAACACAGCAAAGAGGATGGAGACAAAGGAAAAAGAGTCAAGAGGCCAGAGCTAGGTTGATGCTGTGAATATCTGTTTCAAACTAGAGCTTGAAACCAGCACATTGATGGACTTTTCAGTTTTGTCAATAGATTCTCTCATGTTATTTATTTATTACTGGAGGGAAGGAGTGTTGCTTTGTCATCCAGGCTGGAGTGCAGTGGCATGATCTCGGCTTGCTGCAACCTCTGCCTCCCAGGTTCAAGCGATTCTCCTGCCTCAGCCTCCTGAGTAGCTGGGATTACAGGTGCCTGCCACCATGCCCAGCTAATTTTTTGTATTTTTAATAGAGACAGGGTTTTACCATGTCGGCCTGGCTAGTCTCAAACTCCTGACCTCATGA